ACTCTTTAATGTGATTGTACATTCAGGCAATTAATGGAGTTCCCTGACAAGGATGTGCAAAAAAGCAATAGTGTTTACACAGTACTATACTGGGAATAACTGCTGTTGCACAAGTTGTTACCTTGTCTGTCCATGAACAAATTTAGATGAGATAAACTAATTGACCATTTCTCACAAATTTCCCCTCTGTTTTGTTTCAGATCAGCTGTCAGTGGTTATGGAGGCCATGCAGCCAAGACCAACTGGGATGCTTGTTGCCATATTTCTTTTTGTTGCAATATTGTCATGATCTCTGCTTTGATTTGTTGTTATGAATTCAGTTCTCTTTTTTTGTTTGTGTAATGTTCCAGAATAAAGCACAATAAATAAGTAAGTAATGAATGTATTTAATAGTGAAAGTGAATAAAAAATATACTGTTGTACATGGACTCAGGTCACTTATTTGGAATTTATTCAATTCAATGGGATTCATGTAAAATATTAAAAGGTTTTATAAAATAAATAGTGTAAAATAAATTACAGTAAAATTACTGTAATATTATTATACTGTAAAACTAAGTTACAGTAAGGATATAAGGATATAGTACTGTAAAATTAAGTTGCGGTAAGGGTATTTTACTGTAAAATGAAATTGCAGTAAGGCCATCATACTGTAAAATGAAATTGCGGTAAGGACATTATACTGTAAAAGGAACTTGCGATAAGCAACTGTAAAGGGGTAGTTACAGTAACTTACTGGCAATAGTGCGGCCAGTAAGTTACCGCAAAAATACAATAAAAAGTCTTAACAGTGTAGCCTATTTTCCACAAATTTAACAATATGATTTTTTCCACTGAACAGGGAATCGCTTGTAGATTAATGATTTGCAAGAATGCCAGAACAGCAAGAGTTTGTGTATGGAGATAACCTAAACACCAGTGCATGTAAAATGACTGAAAATGACTTAGGAAAAGACCCCACATTTTTCAAGTAATTATACCCTTTTTACAGTTTAAAAAAGAAAATCTGACCTCTGGAAACATTTTATTCTTCTGATATCCGTCTGTCTCCTTGAAGGAAAATGTAGAACTTTCTAGGAAAGCAGTAATAAACAATTGTTAAAATCCGGCTAATGTTAAGTGAATACTAAGTACAAATGAATCTAATTGGGATGGCTGTGTGCCATACCAATAACTTTGGAATTCAACAGCTTAGAGCTGTGTTCAACAGAGGACTCCTGGAAACGCTCTGATATGCTGGCACTACTGACCTAACGACATTATAAACATATTCATTTATAATGACAAATACTGTATATTTGGTATAAATCCAAAAAATATATACATTTGACATTAAATGCACTAAAATAAGTGTTTAAAATGAGTGGTTATTTGTAACATTATCTTGATTTGTAATGTAATTGTACTAACACCATGCAAAACCCATTAAACACATTACCATACAGCTTCATTGGGCATATGGCGCCAGAGTATTGAGCAACAGCCTGCGATTGAATATCCCGATTCTCTCCTAATAATTTTTAAATAACACTTATTTTACTAACATGCCTACTTAAATGTGTTTATAGCTGTGTTTATTCACAATACTGTAGACCAGTGTTTCTCGACCTTTTTTTCAACTGGGCTGCACTATGGTCCAAGTGCAAGTCTCATGGGCCGCACGCATATCATTTACATATTATGTCACCAATACAAACCAACCAGATTTATAATAGCCTATTATAGCCTAAATATTATGATATCTAATCGATTACATTCATTGAAATAAATAAATAAATAATTATACTCACCATTAATAAAACACCTGATGCTGTCGGGAGCTGACCAATTTTGTGAAATTCGGCTCGAAAGGAGTAACAGCACAATGAGGTTGCGATTGAAAGTCGCAGTCTGTAAGACGCGCGACATTGCAGAAAATGTGCGTTCACAAATGTAGCCTATGTTGATCCAAATATGGAAAGCACTTTCGAATTTAATAATCTGAGGTTCTCTCCAGAGATGTTTTGCCACATTTCTGCAATTAAGGGTGATTGCTGCATAGTACCTATGGGTGTTTCCTTTTGCCCGAACTAGAGCCCTGCTGTCACAAAGCAAGGCCAGACACAACAGGTAAGTGCAAAACAGGATGGTTTATTGACTGGGTAAGTGGATGATGCCGAAAGTCCAGCACTCTCCTACCTTCACTGCTGCGACTACTCTTGTTTGTATGCGTTCCTTCGCTGGCATTTTCCTCATTTCGTTTTTCTCCCTTAATAACAAATGTGTCCATTCTGAAAAAAACTGAAAGTTATTTTTTAAATTGTGTTCAGCATGGTGGGTCGCATTTGAATTCGTGACGGGCCGCGGGTTGAGAACCACTGCTGTAGACCAACCACTACAGAAAATCATGTCTTTGTATAAATGAAATCAGCACGGCTACATTGTGTACAGCATGGCTGCTTAAGTTTCAACAGGCATTTCTGGTATTTGCTCTGCAGGTTACAATTTTGCTCATTTAGACTGTATGAAAGACAATGATACTTAAGCATTCAACATAATTTGTTACATTTTTAATAAACCACTGGGATAAACTCCATGCGGGATGCACATAAAATTAAACAACTCAAAAGGTTTTCCAGGGTTTCCCAGTGGTTATAAAGAACAAGAACATGGATCACGGCTCAAGCCAATAATTTGGAGGTTCTGAGCTCTTAATATCTGCCTGACGATCCAGGGGCCCTCTGATTCAGTGGCAAAAGCTCCTGGCAAAATATTAGTCTTTTCTATGTTGATTTTCCATGTCCAAGAAGAATACTTTCAGCTGACTTCCCAGAACTCTAAGCAGACTGACAGATACAATTCATTCGGCTCTGCTGCTGTTAACTGTTTACACTACCATCTGACTATCTTGCAAGATCTGTTGAATGACAGTGCTCTTTGTGTCTTATATAATATTTTGTGCAACAGTATAGAATGATAGAGTGCTACAAATCATCAGTAGAAGGTATCATTATGACAAATCAAATTTAATGATCTTGTAAAATATTATTGTTTAGATGAGTATAAAGCAAATCATTTGTTACCAAAATATGTTTGGAAAGAGAAAAAGTCAATACAATCATAAATTATCTTACACAGGTTCAAAAAAGTAGAGCCAGGACAAATCACAATTAATGAGGAGATTTTATAGAATAAGCTTGAAAATAAAAATCTGTAAAACAATTTTTACATTTAGGAAAATGTAAAAAAAAAAAAAAAAATCCTGACAAGATACACTGTTTGTGATTGCAATATTGTTTATTAGAAATTTACTTTCTTTGTGTTGATTCATGAAGGAAAGCTATGGGGTCCTATAGATCACCCCCACAGCAGCAGTGTCAAGCATAACATCCCATGGGACAGTGTCTGGCTCCACGGGGTTGGGTGACATTATTAATGGAGGCCTGGGCAGAAGCATGGCTCCTGAATAATTTATGTGCTCTGCATTCAGCTCTGTTATAACCTGGCAGCATTCATGCAGGCAGGGACCTTCTCCCTAAGTGCATTAGGATCAGAATAGAGGAAACTAGCCTTTATTGACTGAATCCAATCAATAAGTGCTGCTGCTGCTGTGTGCCTGAGGGGAAAACAAGACATTTTGGGAAATGAAGTCAAGGCTGGGGTATAACC